AAGGTACAATTCCCAATGAGAAATGTAATTGTGTTGTATACCTATGATGTACCAATAAAAGAATTTAATACAAAAAAAAAAAAAAGAAACTGATGCATTTAATCTAAAAGCTTTAAATAAAGGATACATTGGTTCAAAAATAGCACGGAACCTCACTGAAAGCCAAAAAATGTTCAGCCGAAGCTTTGTTCTCCTGTCTCAGACATCAGGGCTCCCTGGAATCTGTGGCAATGCTCCGGCAGGGCCTGCAGTCTGCCTGGGCCGTGGGGCACGTGTCCACCGAGCCTGAAGCCAGGGCTCCGTCCCCAGCACCACAGGGAAAGAAAACAAAAAAGTTCCAGCACACCAAAGATGCAGACAAAATGGAAGCACAAAGTTGGCCACGGTTTCCAGAGTTTCACTAAATATGTATTTTTCTCTTTACACAGCTATGTGACTGTCTGGAACCTGCCAGAAGCGTCACCACCCCCTCTTGCTACATCAGGACACATCAGACAGGAAAATTCATCTTAGCTGTCAGTCTGTGCAACATTCCAGAGCTCTAGAAATTGTGAAATAAATGTCTTTTGCAACATGAGTATTTATGTTTCCAGTTTTGATCTTTTTCAACAAACTTACTGTACATAGGAAAGTAAAAGTAATCAAAAAGATCTAGCCAGTCCTACTGGTAAAAGCGAAGCTAGTAATTCCAAAGACTCGACAATGCCATGCCTCTTTACCAGCCCAGCTCTCGCCCCACTGTGTGTTCTGAACTCCTGTGTCTGGTGCAGGTGGGGTGGATGCCAGCCTCTCCACAGGTCGGAGCCCAGCTTCCAAACGTTATGACCCCAAGTAGTCAAGACAGGCCACAGGCCACAAAAGGGAATCCATCCTTAAAACCCCAGCGTGTAACAGCTCCTGTGGGAGACAGTCACAGAAGCTCAGATATTTAATCTTCTACCCTAATTGTGTTAATGACTAGAACTTAATTGGGAAAGGCATTTAGTCGCAGCGCCCGGGAGGAGTTTGTATGTGGAGCCATAACTATGTTCCATCAATAGAAATCCCTTTTACTTAAAGCTATTAAAGGCAAGGAGATAAAACCAAGATGTGAATCACATGAAAGCTGTGCAGGAGCCCAGAAAGGTGAGGGCCATGCAAGGCGTGTCGGGCCTGCGGCGAGGCCCCTCGGGCTTGGGTGCCGTCTGTCGGACACAGCACGCGTGCTCTGACCCGGGTGTGTTCTCTCCCTGCTGGTGTCCTTCACACCCCTGTGTTCCACGATTTTCAGTCATTTCACTTTAGAGGATTGTACCACGATCCCAATGAAATGAAAGTGTCCTCAGTGAAAGGGAAAGTGAGAAGTGGAAGTGGACACCGTGGTGCACACCTGTGATCCCAGCACTCTGGGAGGCTGAGGCAGGCGTGCGGCAAGTTTGAGCCCAGCTCAGGGTGGTGCTCAGGGTCCGTTGCCCCCTCTCCCACCAGCCCCAGAGTGGCTTTCAGAAAGGCTGAAGAGGCGGAGGCTTTTGCAAAGCCTGGGGTACCCGCCGCACCCCGATACTGCAGGGCCCAGCCACGATTCACTGCGCCCCCACTGTCCCCGAGGGCTCTGCCTGAGCAGAGGCTACCTGCCCTACAGGGCACCATGCGGAGCGGGTGGTGCCCCCCTGCAGCATCCGCTGTGGGGTGCACGCAGAGGCCGGACCCTCTGGTCCAGCGTGAGGCCCGCAACTCCCCCTGGGCGTCTCCAGCACTAGCCTCGGGGCGCTGAGGGGAGGCCACAGGAGGCTGTGTTCCTCCTGCCCCACACAGCAAGCTCTTGAGGCCCAGGCGCCCTGTGGCACTGCCCTGCCAGCTCACCCAGCCCTGCTTCACTCCGAACCAGCTCCATGGTGAGTGGCTCTCTGGAATAAACTCTGTCCCCCACTGCCCGGGGAGACTGGGTTCTCTTCGAGCTCCACACTGGGATGTCACACGAGGCCAATGGCAGCTCCTGCAGAGCTGCTTACTGGTGTTACACAGGGCAGTTAGTGAGTATAGCTTCTACTTCATTCAGGAAACAACTGATATCCATACAGCACTTTAGAGTTTGCAAGGGGTTCTGCTATTCCTTATCTTACTTATTATACCCTTAAACAGATACAAGAATAATAGCCCGAGTTTACAAATAGGAAGCCAAGAGGTTGAGTGACCGGCCTTGTATCATCTGTCAAACAAACAAGAAGGTCAAAATGGGCATCCGAGTGTGTTGGGGTTCCCCCCCCCATTCAGTTTATTGGTACATTTTCGGTATAAAATACAGTTACATTCATCATTGGGATCTTGTACCATTACATGAGTCTCTTGGTTCTTAT